GCAGAGGCAGAGGCAGAGGCAGAGGCAGAGGCAGAGGCAGAGGCAGAAGCAGAAGCAGAGGCAGAGACAGGTGGATCTCTGTGCGGTTTGAGGCCAGCCTGATCTACAGAGTGAGCACCAGGATAGCCAGGGCTATACAGAGAAACCCTACCCCTCCACCCCACCCCACCCCACCCCAAAAAAAAAAAACAGCTTAGGGAAGTAAGGAAACTTACCCAATGTCACACAGCTAGAAGGAGGACATGGAACAGAGCCATAATCCAAATCTGCCTGTCTACTCTAGGGCTAGACCTCTGTCTCAAATCTGCCTGACTCTGCTTGGGACATCCTCGTGGCTGAGGTCAGTGGCCGGGGAGCCTCCTGCTCTATTAAGGAGTGAACAGCCTTGCCCTGAAAGTGGGTGCAAGCGTAGTTTCTGCTCCAGAGATTTGAGACCGCCTGGTCCTGTCCCCACCCCCAGGGCTGCTGACTCAGCCCTTTGCTCTGGTACTTGCAGCTTGAAGCGGGTAGCCTCTCTGCAGGCCTGGCTCCGTGCCCCAGGAATGCTGCTCAGGCAGGGCCACACAGAAGCCATGCCAGTGTGGGCCTGCTGGTGGTCCCTATATGGGCTATCGTCCCTCTGTTTGCTTTCTTCTGGGCTCCCCCAGTACTCCTGGCCGGACCTGAGGACTCCAAGTCATTTTTGGGAGGCAGCACCAGGCTGGACGAGGCTGGCGCCCTCCCAACTTGGACTCCGCTCTGCTATGCGACCTTGTCCCAAAGTCTTGGTCTCTCTGGGCCACGATGTCCCTGATTAAGGGATGGGGTGAGATCTTCCCCGAGGCTCCTTCCAGGCTTAGCACTCCTGTTGGGCTGTCTGCTTACTCAGGGAGCCTGAACCCAGACACAGCCCTGTCAAGGACCTGAAGTATGAGGGCTGGTGTACTATTTCATTAGCTGTTTAGTGGGGCCAGAAAGTGCCAGGCCTAACCCTATCCCAGGAGGGGTGGGCGGGCTGGAGGGCAAAGCCACTGCCAAGGTCCTCCAGCTGCTAACTTGCTTGCTCTCCCCGGGCTGGAGAGAGGCTTCTGGGGAAACAATGGGTGTTCTCAATACCTTATGAGGAGAGAAAGGTGAAGCCTAGCTCAGGCCGGGGTGCTCAGCAAAACGGAAATGAACAGGTGGCAGAGAGTGAGGGACGTTTGCCACCACTTGCACAGGGTCTCCGGCCCCAGAAAACCAGGGCTAGGAGGCAAGGTGGTGATCTTGGCAAAACATTCCCCGGTCTGCCCAGGAGGAAACTGAGGCAGAGCTCTGCCCAGATCCAGGGCACACACTCTTGCCCACCCCCAAACCTTGGGCGGGGGGTAACCTCTGTGAGGGAGCTGGCTTTAGGAGACCAGAGGTTGACTCAGTGAAGGGAGAATTCCAGGTGGAGGATGAAACCACCCTTAGTCCAGCACCTGTGGGGCATGGGGAGGTCCAGGATCTAGACCACCAAGGGTAGGAGAGGCAGTGCCTGAGTGCGTTGCTGGCTACTGGGTATTAGGACCAGGATTTATGCCTATGGAGGATGGGTACCAGTGCCCTCATGCCACTCTCTCTGTCTCTGTAGCTCTTGGCAGATGGCTCTTGGGCTCTGACTAGACCTGGGCTGCAGGCTCCCAAAGGCTGCCTCCCTTTTCCTGAGTCATGGAGAGGCCCTGCCCCCTCTCCTGCTGCCTCCGATTTCCAGGCCAAGTATTTCTAGGTCTTGACCCTGATCCTTTCTAACTCTCGGGGCATTTTGACTCAACCGATGTTCCATAGCTGGGCCTGGGCCACAGATGCCCAAGCAAGTTAAAGATCCAAACAACCTCCAGTATCTCCCAGGCAGAGCCTCAGGCTGGAGGGGCGGGAGCAGGAGGAGGGGAATGGGAAGCCAGCTCAGCATGCTTTCTCCTCCCTCCCTCCATCCCTCCGCCTTCCCAGCTCAGTCGTAGGCCTGGGGGTCGGGCCAGCAACAAGTTATTATCACAGACATGGGCTAAGGAGCCAGAGGCCGCCCGGGGTCTGTGAGTTGAACTTGAGGCTGCAGGACAAGGGTGAGTGGCTGAAGGCCCCTCTGCTTCTGTCTGGGCTGGGGTCCGGGGTCCGAGTCTGAGATTCCTCTGTTCTCCTCTTTCTGGCAAGCGCCTAGCTCTTTCCCTCTGGCCTAGGCAGCCGGTTGGAGGTTCTCCTCTTCTACCCTGCACCTCTAGACACCCTGCTCTGCTTCTGCCTTTTCCTTGCCCCAGCAAGGGACTCCATCTCCCCCAGCCACTTAACCCAGCCCTGCCCCTCTGGAAGATGACAGTGGTAAACCCAGCTACTGCAGGAGGCTCTGGCTTTTTAGTAGAGGTGGTGGGGACCCTCAAGACCACTCTGTGGGGTGGTGTGATCCCCCACACTTAGTCCTGCCTCCCCCTGCCTCCCCCCCCCCCCCCCCCCCCCCCCCCCCGCCGCCGCTCCCAGGAGCCAACCAGGGATCCCAGCTGTGGTTAGTATCACTTCCAAGGAGCGAGCCCTGTTTCCTGCTTCCTGCCCCTAGGCCCCCCTCCCTCCCCCTTCTGTCTCTGAGCCTCTGGCTCCCAAGGGGCCGGACCAATAGGAAACAGAAATGTCTCCAAACCATGCTGACTCTCCAGGGGAAGTTCTGTGCCTTTCAGTCCACAGACACCACAGTGCCGTCTTGGCAGGCAGAGGAAGGCATGGACTCTTTGAAGTCTCTGACAAGTAGGCAGGTTCCCTGAGGGTTAGTCGTCCTCGTAACCTGGCAAGGAAGACATGCTGGCCTCTTGTAAGTGGGAATGAAGGAGCATGAAGACCAGAGGGGCCCAGCCACAGCGCTAGGCCATATGCCTGTGAAGTATTCAGAGGCCCCCTCCAAGGCTGGACATATCTGTGGCCGGAATAAAGGGTGTGGTGGGGAGGGGCATTGCTGCCACCTGGAGTTGGTCTCTGAGGGGTTTGCTTGCCCGTGGTGCAGAACCAGCAAGTCCCAGCAGTGTAGACAGGATCATCCCAGAAAGGGGCTGTCTCTGAAGATGCCTCCTGTCACTAACCCTGGGGAGAAGGCCCAGAGCGTCTGTCCCTTTAACACCTGGCTCCTTTTCACAGCCTTTTTCTAGAAGTAATCATTTTAACCTTCTCAGCCTGTATTAACCACAGAAAAATATTTTTGAATTGTGCTAAATGTTAAAGAGGAACGAAAAGGAAATAAACAAAGAGACGCCAGAGGTGTGGAAACCAGTCTGGTTTCAATAGCAGTTTCTGATCTGTGATAATCAGGTGGCACCAGCCCCCGAGCCTGTCACCACCTCAAAGGCCCGCTGCGGGCTTCCTGCCCACCCGTCGAGGCTCCTTCTCTACTGTCCGGCCTACTTCCTGCCCTGATCTGGAAACTTTGGACCCCTTTACGTTCGAGACCCAAGACGGAACCTTTCCAATTCTGATCCCTCTGAATTCCCGTTGTTTTTGGTTCTCTCCCCCCTCCCCACCTTAATTTCAATTTACCACCTTAGTGCCTGATTGGTAGGTTTGTCGTGATTGACACAACTACCTTCCAATGACTTAACGCTGAGCTTTCTCTGGAGGGTGTAGGGGGGTACCAGGGGGGGTCCTGAGCAAGGGTGGGTTGCTGAGGTGCCAGGGTGAGCCCTGCTAAAGCTGCCCATCCTCAGCCTTGTGTTGTTCCAAAGGGGACATCTCCAGCTTGTTCTTCAAGAAGGGGAGCTTCCGCTTCTGCACAGACGTGGCCCGCAGGATCCAATGCCTTGGTCTCAGGGACCCTAGTTCCTGCTGCCACCAATGGTGCCTGCGAGACGTGGTGGTAGCCACGGTCAGCAGCCTTTAGAGATGAGAGGGCGAAAGAAGAACTCTCTATCTTAGTGGTGTGGACCTCTGGCATCTTCCTTGGTGCCCCAGGCGAGGTCTGGGAGCCTGGTTTGTGCCACCTGACGGTCTCTATAGGGGCGTCGTCCTGCTTCCCAGGAGTCTCAGTGGCCAGTCTAGTACCCCCAGGCTTGCTTCCAAGTGGTCCCCAACTTGCCTGCTGCAGGAGTTCCTGGTACTGCTCCTCCGGTAACGCTGAGTGTGCCCTGCCCACAGGAGACTGTTAGCACTGGGTACGGACATGCCAGATACACTGAGTCAAATGTGTCCGTCTCTCCTTTCAGGTCATCATGGGGACAGCCAGCCTGGGTTCCCTCTGGGCCGTACTCCTCCTGCTGCTGCTTCCTCTTGTGTTTGGGGTCCCCACAGAGGAGCCCACCTTTGGGGGATCCGTGGCCTCCAAAGGCTGTCAGCGATGCTGTGACCCGGAGGACCCGCTGTCCCCTGCTGACACCGTCCGTGCCTCTGCTTTGCCTCCCTTCCCCTATGTCATGCCTGAGGTCAGGCCCTACATCAACATTACCATCCTGAAGGGTAAGGTCTCACACTGGGCAGGCTGCGGGCAGAATCGGCATGGGGTGGGGAGGGAGGGAGGGACAGGAGAAAGCGGAACAGGCCTTGCCTAGGCCCTGCCTGCCTTTGGTCTGCATACACAAAACAGCTAGGACGTGCAAGGACTGTTCTGAGCTCAGAGCTAAGGAACAGGTGATGGGCAGAACAGATTCCCCAAGTTAATGAAGGATCCAGAGTGTGGGCAGAGATTGTTGGGGTGAAGTGGGGGACGCACAGTCGGTAGAGCGAGCATGGCAGGTATACAGGGCTCCTGGGAAGGCAAAGGGAAAGTCTATGCTTACCAGGGAAGGGGTTTCCCAGCAGGGGTGTGGAAAGACATGGCATTGGGTGGGGGGAAGGGAGAAAGATGTGGGCCCACAAGCTCTCCAGCCACCATCAGGATATGGGTTTCCCTCAGTGGGATCAGAGGGATTGAGCAGAGAGAGAGCCTAGCCCCCATGGGTTTCATGTGGAGCACACAGGGTCAAAGGTTGAAGGGCAGAGTCTTGGGGGAGCTCCATGGCTGGAGGTGGAGGCTGGCTCCCTGATATATAGCATCCAGCATAATAAAATTAGTTCCATCCCAGCAATGAGACCTGTAGCTGCCGTGGCCACGCTGCTGACACCCTTCCTCCATGTCCCCACCCAATGTGAGGACGTGCCCCGGTTTATTTCTCTTACCTGTAGATAGGGAAACTTAAGTGTCCGTAGTGGAGGGGCTCTCCTGAAGCCACCTCGATGTGAGCAGGACACTCCCCTCTGAGAGCCAGCCGACACCCGAGACTCCCACTCCTTCTAACCACCTGGGTGCGAGGAACCTTCCCGGCCTCACTCAGTTCAACTTCAGACAGCTTAGACTCTGGAGGTGGCCCGGGCCTGGTGGCACTTTCCCTGTGGCTGTCCCTCTTAAGGCCTGTGTTGCCCTTGAATAGGCTGTCAGAAGTGGACCGTTCTTGGTGGCACAAGAAGCCCTGGGTCTAAACGCTTTGCCTGGTGGGTCAGGCTGGCCTCTGTCTAAATCTGCCAGCTTGTGTGCAGAAGGAAAGCAGTCCCCTCCTCAAAGCCACCTTGGGTAAAGCGGGTCTTCGAGTGCCCTCTGTACTCAGTGAGCTGTTTCTGCCAGGAGGTGGCACCTGTGGAACCAGGCCACAGCTGTGGATGCAACCACCCCACTTTCCTTTGGTCTGTCCCTTTCTCTCTCTACCCTCCGCTGACTTCACTGCCACCGTGGTCAAGGGGACCTGAGAAAGTACACATCCTCACCAGGCAAATAGGTGGTGTCAGGTCCCTTCAGTGCACACCAGGTGTAGGCCCCTTCAGCGCACCCTGGGTGTGTTTGTTATGGGGAGGTGTCTTGTCTGTGTTCAGAGTCAGCCTGGAGCCAGGGCTGGGAGAGTGACTAGGTTGAAGGTCGCATTTTCCAGGGACAGTGGAGATGGACTGGGCCTTTGCTGAGTGGATGTCTTGCCAAGTGAGAACACACAAGCAGCTGTGAAGTGGGTACACCCTAGGGACCCAAGACCCCTCACCCCAAAACCCCAGGTCATGGCCAAGTCAGTTTTCTTCTCTAACTAGAAGTATAAGTGTGTCTTACCTTGTTCTACCTCCCTGCTGGCCTAGGCAGGGTAGCTTCCCAGAAACCTGCCATCCGTGCCCTCCTTGCCAGGAATGGGACCCAGGCTGAGCTGGACAGAATGCAGTCCAGCTCTTGGAAATGGCCACAGTTTTACTTCTGCAGAGGGATGTTTGGCGTGGTGACGCCTGGCATGCAGTAGGCACTTAATAAACACCAGCTCCTTTTCTGGGCCCGGGCAAAGGCAGTGGCTTCCAGAAATGAGTGCTTAGTATAGGCCTGAGTGCCTGAACTGACTCCTCCCCTCCATGACCTCACAGGTGACAAAGGAGCCAGAGGCCCTTCGGGAGCACCAGGGAAGCCAGGCAAGAACGGTACCCGAGGTGACCGTGGCGCTCAGGGTGTCAAGGGTGACAAGGGGCAGGCAGGTAGCCCTGGCAGCCCATGCCAGGAACACTACTCGGCCTTCTCGGTGGGCCGGAAGACAGCCTTGCACAGCAGCGAGGACTTCCTCCCACTGCGCTTCGACAGGGTCTTCGTGAACACGGACGGCCACTTCGACATGGCCACCGGCCGCTTCGTGGCCCCCCTGCGCGGCGTCTACTTCTTCAGCCTCAACGTGCACAGCTGGAATTACAAGGAGACCTACGTGCACATAGTCCACAACGACCAGCCCGCCGTGATCCTGTACACGCAGCCCAGCGAGCGCAGCATCATGCAGAGCCAGAGCGTGATGCTCCCGCTGGTGCCTGGCGACCGAGTGTGGGTGCGGCTGTTCAAGCGGGAGCGGGAGAACGCCATCTACAGCGATGACGTGGACACCTACATCACCTTCAGCGGCCACCTCATCAAGGCAGAGGACAGCTGAGCTTCCCTGGCCACCTGCACAGCTGGCCAGCTTGGAGAGGCTTGCTGGATAGGGCGAGGCCCGGGGCTGATGCTCTTCATTGCTTGGCTTCCTCCTGATCTGCAGTCTGTCTCCGTCCCCTCCTCTCTTTGCTTCATTTCCAGGGGCTTTGGGGCTTAGGTCTTCCAGAGCTTTGCCAGCCTTTAGAGTGGCTGTCCTCGCCCACTGTCCTGGGTGCTGTCCATCCCTGGGGACTTTATTCTCTGATAGACTCTGGCTTGCCATTTTGGGCGGGCCCAAGAGTCTGCGTTTCTAGCTGTTTCCTCAGTAATGTTGATGCTACTTGGTCGATGGATCATGCTTGAGGAATTGTGCTCTCTGGAATGTTCCCAGTATTCTAGGGACTTCTCAAACATTCTGGAATCACCCTCCACCCTCCAAACTCAAGTATTCTTCCCGTATCCTCAGGTTTTCTCCTCGCCCTGGGCTTCCCCTCACCTCTGCCCTTTTCCCTCCCTGCTTTTTCCAGCTCCTGTTCACTTCTGCATTCATCAAAATGCTGAATGCTCACTTTGTCCCAGGCCTTAGAAAAGCCCAGAATCGGGACAAAGACTTGAGCATGTCCTGGGTGCTCCCCTAGACTGGGTTTTTAGGCACTGTGGGCCCTTCTTCACTGCTTCCATGGTGGCACAGGTCCTGGCGGTGGGGATGATGTACCTTCTTCATTCTCCTCCTTCTTCCCCAGTGCCCAGCATTAAAGCAAACATAGGTATAGTCTTGGCTGGGAGGAGACCCAGGCATTTGAAAACACCTGGGATGACCAAAGAGTGCCTCGCTGACCTTTGACTCCTCCTGCCCTCGTTCTTTCCCCCGTTCCCCAGGACTTTAGCCATGGTCAGGCCATGAACTAGGTGCTCTCTGGCCCTCCTAGCCCTCAAAGGCCCAGGGTCACACTGGGCTTATGAAGGTGCTACCCCCTCCCATCTCCCGCCCCTACCCCCAACATGGCGGCTCCCATTTCAGAGCTTCTGTCGCCTGTATTGCTCTTGCAGACTTTATGGGCAAGTCAGGCAGGACAGAGGTGGCAGGTTTCAGCCCAAAGCAGGTCTGGGGACTGAAGCCAGTGACATTCAGGTTAACCCGGGGTGGGGGGGCTCTCTGAGCCATGCTGCCAAGACAGGCCCTGGGGGAGGTTGTGGAAAAGCAGGGACACTGAGACCCCCCACCCCCCACGCCTTTCCCAGGTGTGTGGCCTGATGACCCTCTAACCTTTCCCTCTTCCGCTGGAGGCTGCCCGAGCTTCTCAGGGGAAGGCGGCCTCCGTCCATTGGTGCTTCTGCAGAACCAGGGCAGGCCTGGCCCTGGGAGGGCATCTCTGGTGCTTACAGCCAAGGGAGCCATGGCAGGGTGACAGAGGCAAGGCCCACCATGTGCTGTGAAGGCTGGTTCTCTAAAACCACCCTCAGCCCGACTGCCCTTGCCTGCTTGGCCAGTGTGAATAAAAGATATTGGATTCTCTTGGCAATTTAGTCTGGTACTTTTTTGCTCTACCTGATGCTCCTGCCTTGGAAGCTAGCCGCACCGGGCCTGCCGGGACCCAGATCGAGGGCTCCACTGAAACAAGGCCTGACTAAGGGCTTCACCTGTGTTCCCTGCCTGCAAAGAAATCTTCCCCTAGCCAGTCACTCAACACAGCGGGGTCCTGGAGTCTCACAGAGTCAGCTGGGATCCAGGCAAATCTCCACATCTCTGAGACTCAACGTCACTTCCTGAAAAATGGAAGTGACAACGGTTTACCTCATGGGGATGGGGATGGGGCTTCAGGATTAGATGGCATGTGGCCTGGCAGCTGCCATGTTCTTTCTTGGGCCAGCTCTTTCCGTCTGTAGCGTGGCTCCGGGTCGCAGGATACTTTGAAGTGGCACACCAACTGTGTTAGCTACCGTGGACAAGAGCAACTCAAGGAAGAAAGGGTTTATTTTGGCTTGAGGGGGCAGTCTACCGTGTGTGGGCAACGTAGCAGGCAGGGCATGAGGCAGCTGGTCACATGACATCTGCAGCCTGGAAGTCTGCTGCCCAGCTTGCTCTCTCCCTTTTATTCAGTCCTGGACCTCGGCCACGGAATGGCACCACCCGCAGGTGAGGGGCGTACCCCCCCCTTAACTGACCTAGCCTAGAAACAACTGGCATGCCCAGACACTTGCCTCAGTGTCCTGCCAAGTTGACATTCACCACATACCAACCACAGCCCCTCACCTGTGTCAGGGACCTCAGAGTCCCATACCTCTGTCTCATGCTTACAAAGAAAACAGCTGGAAAATGCTCATTGTGCCTCCCAGAGCATAGGCTGTCTGGGGTGGCCATGTTGACTGGCACAGTCCCTTGCCTGTGCTGTTGAAGTGATCCCTGCCTCCACTCCCCTTGCCTGCTGCCACACGCTCTAACACGGAGAAGGCCCAGGTCTGCTGTCTTTCGTGTTGACAGGATTTGTGGTCAGCTGGCCGGCTGACGGAAGCTCTGGGAACTTTGTGCCAGGCACCTGCAGAATTTGCACACTGAGGCCAAAGCCGCAGACATTTCCAGGTGCTGCCAGTGAAGGGTACTGAGGCCAACACCCCACCTCCCCCTCCTGTCACACTACCATATCTGCGTCTGTCCTCCCTGCCTCGGTTCAGAGGTTGCCATGAGATTGCCTGACAGTGTGAACATTCAGTGTTCCTGTCTCAGTGGGTGTAAGGAGCCCTCAGACTCTGGTGACAGAGACTTTCCAAACATACAAGGCACGTTGGGGCTTGGGCTGGGGCCGCCAAGCCAGGGTTGTGGAGTGATCTGTGTTTGTAAATGCAGAGAGAGCTGGGCATGGTGGCACATGCCTTTAACCCCAGCACTTGGCAGAGGCAGGGAACTCTCTGTGGTTGAAGGCTAGCCTGGTCTATAGAGAGAGTTCAAGGCTAGCCAGGGCTACATAGATACTATCTGAACAAAATAAAATGAAAGCAGAGAGAGACAGAGAACCGGTAAACAGAATGGCACTGTGCACAAGAGAGTTGAGGTGTGTGAAGCCTAGCCTGGGGTTGACCTTCGTGCTGTGGGCCTTTTAGAGGCAGCTCACTGGGGCAGCACTGTGGTCCAGGGCAGATGTAGGAATGCCACACGCCATGAGGAGAGCAAGTTCTCCCTGTACTTTTGAAGGAGGTAAGAGGTTTGGAAGCAAAGGGTGCAAAACAGGCAGGTGCCAGCCCAGCCCACACAAAGCCCCTGCCCATCCGGTTCCCCCATTCCTAAAGACTTTTGTCTAAGAGATCTGGTGGCTTTCTGGCTTTGCGAAGGACAGTCTTTTGTTTGGCTGGAAGGGTGGAGGATGCTGGGTAATTTGTTTAGCCTTTTTGTTGGAGCCCACATTGTCTTTGTAACATCTGACGCCAAACCTTCTTTCTTACCCTCCTGGAGACTTTGACCCAACAAGGTACACATGGGAATGGCGGCGGAATACCACGTCAGAACTTACTGAGGGCCCACAATGTCCAGACTCATGAAATGAGGGCCAATTGCTCCAGAAAACGCAAAGCATATGTGAGCAGTTTCAGAGAAGTGGTGAACATGGGCGCCGGCTCCTGTGAGCTCTGGAACCAGGCTCGGGCCTCTGAGTTGGGCTACTTCCCCCTTTTGGTCCATTCTGTCAGAGTTCATCACCTCAGGGTTCTCTGCCATGGGGCCTGGGCTGGTTCTTGGCTCACCTCCTATCATGGCCACACAATTGTTGGGGCGGGGTGGTGGTGGTGGGGGTTCCCACTGACTGAAGAGCATATGCCCGTGGGATGAATGACTTTGCTGAATCTCCTGCTCTCTGCGGGGGCCCATGCTGCCACGTGTACAGCTGCAGGGCCGGGAGAGCCGGAGATACTCACCAGGAACAGAAAGCAGATGGGGAGGACATTATGGGTGTGGCACGCAGAGGGAGCCAGAGAGGAAAGAGAAATTTCCAGGACACAAGTCAAGAGTTCATAGGGCTAAGCAGGGCAGCAGGAAGGCCTTAGGTGAAGTCCACAGTCACACTGAGGAAGGAGCTGATCCCTCAGGCGGGTCAGAGGCAGGATGAGGTGGGGACAGCTACAGGACCCCGTGTGCCTGTAGGTGGCTGACCTTTTCCCAGAGGCTGCTAATCAGTCAGGGGAAAGAACGGGCAAACAGATTCTCCCAGGGACGGAAACAACGGGCCTGCCTTTCTCTGACCAAGCTTCTTTCTGAAGACGGCTTTGATCGCTGATGTTGAGGAATGAGGCTCTGTCGTCCATGTTGGCCTCTGTGCCAACATGGCTTCCCCACTGTCTCTCCCCGGCCCCTCAAGAAGCAGTTTTTAGTGTGAGGTCTGTTCATGCAGGGTCCTACCGATATCTGCTCCAGGCTGCAGTCACTCCCCGACCGGCTGCCCATGGTTTCAGGTCAGCCTAGGGCTTCTCTGTACACTGCCCTATCCTTGGAAGGCAGCCTGAACCAGGCCTCCTCAGCCTGGGACATTGTGCTGCTATTACTGTCCTGAGTGTCCAGCTACCCTCCTGGGGCCTTGTTCGGGAAGAGGGATACGGTCTCTGAGTCTTATAGCAAGGTGTGCGTGTGGGGGTGTTTCGGGGACATTGTGAGGCTGCTGACTCCATCGTTTTCCTTCAAGCCCTGGGCCCAGCCTGGATAAAATCTGAGCTTGCGCAAAGACCTCCCTTTTTTCCTTTTGCGTTTTGCTGCATATTGTTGGGGTGCAGCAAGCACAAAGCAGAGAAAACAAAAAGAACCTTGAGTTGAGGGACAGGGCGGCTCCATGGCCACACCAAGGGCTAGGGACCATCCCCTGTGTGCCTTGAATGACAACTTTTGGTGTCTCGTCCACACCCCAGCATGATAAAGGCCAGGGAAAGAAAAGGCCCACACCCCAGCATGATAAAGGCCAGGGAAAGAAAAGGCCAGCTGTCAGGCCAGCCGCAGCTCCTCACTTCTCATTGGCCAGGAGTGGTCACATGACTTAAGCCAACCTCAGGGATTGGAGGATAGGATTGTAGAGCTACAATTTACCTCTGAACCCCAAGGGGCTGGGCTGGACACTCCCAACAAAACAGAGTCTCACTGAAGGGTGGGGGCCCGAGAGATGCTTTCCTGAGTTTAGCTTTAGTAGGAGCAATGTCCCAGCCATGGAGCCCCTGACCCTTCCCAGCAGAGCTAAGCATCTGTGCAGTTAGCCCCCCCAACACACACGCATGCATGCACACACCGCTCTGGTTCAGATAGTATTGCTGAGGCTCTGTCATGGCTTAAGCCTAAGGACTTAAGTATCTCCTGAGCTCTCTGTGCCTCAGTTTCCCCATCTGTAGAACAGGATCTACACGAGGGACTGCTGGAGGGGTTAAAGTCAAGTGCAGAGCCTAGGGAGGCCCTCCGTGGAACTTTCTTCTGAGGCACATGCGTCATTATAGTCATTTTACAGAGGAAGCCACCATGAAGCCACAGACGGGTCCGCTCCCTCCTCCAGAAACGTGCTGCTCACTGAGTTTGCAGCCACAGTTTACACCTGTCCGAGGGTCCCACTGGGATACCACAGGGCCCACCAGTGTGCAAAAACCAAGGTGTTTCCTCTGGTGGCCTTTGGTCTGCAGCAGGGGATGCTATGTGGGTCCTCGAAGCAGCCTTCATGGGTAAACAAGGGATGAAGGTAGCAAGGGACTCAGAAGGGCTGGAGACAAGCAAAGGAAACCACAGATTACTTCCGGGGCACTTGAGGTCAAGGCAGGGAGGGAGGAGTCTGGCTGGCAGCTGTTTAGGTTTGGATCTGAGCCAGCCCCCACAGGCTCAAGTTTTACAAGCGTGTTCCCCACGGGGTGGCGCTGTTTCTTGAGGCTGTGGGGCCTCTAGGAGGAGGGCCAAGTTGGCACAAGTGGCTCAATAAGGGTGGGCCTTTGAAGGCCTTTGAAGGTGACCTGTGTTTCCGGTCACGTTCCCTGCTTTCCTGTTTCCCTGTGGTATAAGCAGCCCCTTCCATGCCCTCCTGCTACCATGATCTGAGGCCTGTCACCGAAGCTTCCTCACCATTACCTGAAAGAAGCCCTTTCTTCCTTTAAATCGCATCAACCATGCACATAGACAGCAGTGTCTACGGACACGTCTTTCCCTGAGCAGTGTTAGAGGAATTACAAGCCGCCAGGAAAAGGCACGTGGCCGGGACCCTCCTTAGGCCTCTCAGCTGAGCATCTGGGGGATTTTAGCTGTCCTTCCTCGGAGGGCAGCTGGATGGTGTGACTCAGCAGAAGGCTGGGTAAGGCTGGTGGTTCTAAAGGAGACCTCAAGGCTAACAGGGCCAGCTGGAATCCTGCTGCGGGCACCTAGCAGGCTGAGAGCAAGGACGGGTGGAGCTGTGGACAGGAAGGGAGGCCAGGCACTGCCGTTCATGCAAGGTCCCGGGGCTGGCCCTTCTGCCCCCGCCCCCCCATTTCCAACAAGACTGGTTTTTTTTCTCCCTCCTCTT